AAGTAATTCATACTCCGAACGAAGAGTTTGAAGCTGCAGCTTCCTTGTCTTTGCATTTCCTTGACATTTCTTCTTCATGGATTCCCAAATATCTTTGGAGGTTTCCTTGCAAGGAATGGTCTCCAAAATAGCCCGTTCGATTGATTGAAAGAGGTAGTTTTTAGCTTTAAGATCCTTCAGTTTTAAAGCTTCCAACCTCGTCCTTTGGTCTGCCGGCATCTTAGCGGTGGGAGTTGCTGCTCCAGTCTCCACCACAGCCCAAAGCTCTTTGGACCGGAGAAAGTTTTCCATCAACATGCTCCAATGATCGTAGTGACCATCAAAGCGGGGAATAGAAGGTTGAACAAAGCCTTCAGATGCCATGGATCAATTGATATTGCTGCTGCAATGAATTTATGTGGCTCTGATACCAAATGTCAGGTATAGATTCTTTGAAGAATATAAACAAAGACCTACTGTGCACTAATTAGGAAGAGAAAATTATAGCTTATATGAAGGGAAATCTTTCTCTGTGAATGATAAAAGGAATCAGAGAATTGGGAAGAAGAAGTGATATATTTATTCAGGATGATACAGCCTTTAAATAGGCACTAATACAACTTGCCTCTAAAATATTCTTCTAATTACGTGACGTTGAACACTAGTTTGAATTGACATTTGGGTATGTTGATGTATTATTATTAGTTATTAAGAAATTATTCATGACCATTATTTATTTATTTAGGGGAGGAGTATGTAATATTTTAAGGAGAAGTACTTATGTTGGATTATTTGATGAGAACGTGATCATATTTATGTGTATTAAATGTACCATCATCTATTAATTGGTTTGCAGAATCTATATGTTTTCTTTTAATTTGAAGAAGGAATTAAATTAAAGAAGGATGAAAACCACAAGAATAAGGTGATTTTAGAGTGTTTCAAGTATCTAAAAATGACCAAGAAAGAGGATTTTAAATAGGGCAAAGAAAATATGTCCATTGGTCCAAAAAAGAGAGTTATGCTAAAAATACACCTCAAAAATCGATTTTCATAGAACAAAAAAAATGAATTTTTTAAGTCTGCTTTTCAGTCCTTTGAATCCAGTAGCAAAAAATTAATTTTTACAAAAAAGAAAATTGATTTTTATGGCGCGAAAAGCAAAGATAATATCTTAAAGAACATTTGTAGAGGGTAATGGGTCAAGGGACAATATGTCCTTGTTCCCCCATGAGATAATGTCTTGAAATGATGTATTCAAGACCCAAAGATGTATCTAAATTCAAATTTTGAATTTGAATTTAGTTGGGGTACTTGCTCACCCCTATTTATAGTCATCACCAAGACTATTTTGCTACTAGGCGTCCACGACGCTGACTATGGCATGTACTCTCCATCTCGGCTTATCTTTTCATTTCTTATCTTGTGATCATTTCCTTGACTACCCTATTTTCTTTTAATATTGGTATTAATCCTATTCTTGAATCTTGATCATGTTGATGGTTGTGGATTAGTAATAACTAGAATCTTAGAATTGTTTTTTATAGCAGCAGTGAAGTTTGGTTTCTTACAACCGACCGTAACTCTTTGGTTAAAGTGGTTTCGGTTTAGTTGGTTATCTCTTAAAGGCGGTTTGGTTTCGGTCGATTATTATAAACAAATATATACTCCGTAGTTCGGTTTTTTTGGTTTATGACCGAAACCGACCGATGCTAACACATACCCAATGCCATATCATCATTTAGTTTAATTATTGCCATGTTTTTTTGTCGCTTCGTCCCAAAATGAAATACAGATACCTTTTTTTATCAACGTATAAATTTTTTTTTGAATTTGAAAATAATTTTGTTTACCAATTGGTATTGAAATAAAAAATAAAGATTATATATTTCAAAATTATATCAAAAATTTTATAAAATTAGAGGTGATAATAATATTTTATTTTATCAAATCATCAATGAAAATATGCAAACAAACAAAATATATCGAGAGACTGTAATAGTAAGAAGTAAATCATTTTGGGACGGAAGTAATATATCAAATATGAGTGTTATATTCAAAGTTGGACGAAATTGTTTTATATTCGAGATCAAGAAAATACTTTTTTATAAGAATATTTATCCAATTTTAATTTTTTGAAGTCAAAATTGATAAACTATGATACTTTATTAAATTTATACTTTATTGAAATTTTATAAATAAAATTTATACTTTATATATTAGATATTGATATAAAAATAACTTCATTATATGTATTGTGTAAAATATTTTTAAAATACTATTTTCTATATCTAATTAATATAGTATGTAGGTTTTATTTCATTGTAGGTCAAACGTTAATAAAATATTTCAATTCATATAAAATACTCCCTCCGTTCTAAAAAAAGAGTTTCTACTTTGAAAAAGTGGAAAAATAAAGAAGTGTTAAATTGTACGGAGTAGTTGACTTCTAATTTTGCCCTTGATGTGATAGGTATGGTATGAAAAAGTAAGGGTAAAAGTGGTTTTTTAATAGAAAGTGGAAGTGTTTTGTTGAAAATGAAAAAAAAAAAGAGGAAGTATCTTTGAGAACGGAGGGAGTATATCTTCTGCCAGCTTGCATAATAAAAAATCAAATATGAGTTTTGACAATGCTTTGATAAAAATATCCGCAAGCTGATAACGAGTGGGAACATATCGTGTGGACACCTCATGGTGCTAGCTGAAGAGACTTGCGAACTGTATGACAATTAATATCAATATGCTTCATACGTACGTGAAACACGGGATTGGATGCAATATATAAAGCAGATTGGTTGTCACATTATAAGCTTGGAGGATAAAGAATCGACACTCCTAGAGCACTTAGGATGCCACGTATCACAAATACTTGCAGCCGTAGGGATAATCGGTGACCAGAGGTAGGGGTGAGCAAGTACTGAACCGATCTCAAAATTTTCTAAAAAAACCGAGAATACCGAACCAAAAAAAGTACCGAGAAGGAACTGAACCATACCGAACCAAATGGTCAGTACGGTACCTGGGAAAAGTACGAGGTGACGTCCCATACCAAAATCCCTGGACCATATTCATTATACTTTTATTTTAGTTTTAGTTTTTGTAAATGAACGTATAAATATTCACAAACATTCGAAATACTACTTTTTATCATTCATTTTTTTAGTTTGTGAAATATAAACTAAGTTTTGATACACAACTCTTGCATTGAAATATTCATATTCATTTTTTAAAAATTTTTTGAAAGAATTATTTTGGAAGAAATTTTCTGAATTACTCTCTTGTCTCTACATTTTACAATAAGAACATATATATAGGATCTCACAAGTTGAGACTCATAATCAGTCAAGGACAAGGAAAAGGAAAGAATCTCTATACAAGGAAAACAACCAAAACAATATATACACAAATATCTCCCAATATTCTACCAAATATTCTCTTTCCTTTAACACCCCCCCTCAAGTTGGAGCATGTAGTAACGAAATGCCCAACTTGGGAAGAAGAAACTCCAAACGGGACTTTCCGAGTGCCTTTGTATGAATGTCTGCAAGCTGATGCGTAGTAGGCACATGAAGTGTACGAATCTCTCCTCGCAAGATTTCATCACGAACGAAGTGACAATCAATCTCAATGTGCTTTGTGCGTTCGTGGAAAACCGGATTAGCAGCAATGTGAATAGCTGCCGTGCTGTCACACCGGACCGTCATGGGGTTCTTATGCTCAACCCCTAAACACCGCAATACATTCTTCAACCACTTCAACTCACATGTAAGGACAGCCAAAGCTCTATACTCCGCTTCAGCAGACGAGCGAGCCACCGTTGACTGCTTCTTTGTTTTCCATGAGACAGGCGAGTCTCCAAGCTGCACGAACCACCCTGTCAATGACCGCCTTGTCAAAGGACATGCTGCCCAGTCCAAATCACACCATCCTGTGAGTTGAAGACTACTCTCTGCTGACAGAAAAATGCCCTGACCCGGACATCCCTTCAAATAACGAACAACTCTGAGTGCTGCAGTCCACTGATCCTCCCTTGGTTCCTTCAAAAACTGTGCTAAAGTGTGGACGGCGTAAGAAAGTTCCGGTCGTGTAACAGAGAGATAGACCAATCTTCCTACCAACCGTCGATATGGTTCTGGATCTGCAAGAACCGGGGCTTGGGAACGAGCCAAGTGATGATTTGGCTCCATCGGGGCACCCAACGGCCTGGCACCTAACAACCCCGCCTCAGTGATGATATCTAAGGCGTACTTTCGTTGGCAGAGAAAAATCCCAGACGTGCTCTTCGCCACCTCAATGCCAAGAAAGTATTTCAGTGTTCCCAAGTCCTTCATATGAAAACAATCTCCGAGATAGGCTTTGAACTTGCTTACCATCTCTGTATTATCTCCAGCAATAATCAAATCATCAACATAAACCAATACATGTATGACTCCTTTCTTTCTAACAAAAGAAAATAAGGAGTAATCAGCAACAGATTGGACAAACCCATAGCGTTTCAAGGCTCCAGACAACTTGGCAAACCAACACCTTGGAGCTTGCTTTAAGCCATACAGAGACTTCTTGAGTTTGCACACCACATTAGACGAATTTGAGAAACCAGGTGGCAATCTCATATACACCTCATCCTGAAGATCTCCGTGTAGAAATGCATTGTGAACATCCATCTGATGCAATTCCCACCCCTTAACTGCTGCAATTGCCAAAAGCGTTCTCACAGTGGTCAACTTGACTACAGGAGCAAATGTTTCCTTGTAGTCAAGTCCTTCAACCTGGTGATTGCCAAGTATAACAAGTCTGGCCTTATATCTCTCCACACTTCCATCGGATTTGCGCTTGATCNATGGCGTGGAGGAGAGACAAGAGACCACGTTCCATTAGCCTCTAGTGCATCAATCTCCTCTCTCATAGCCTTCCTCCATCGTTCATCCTGAAATGCCTTCTTGAAACTTGTGGGCTCCACTCCAGCATCAAGTGCGCTGAGAAAACACTTGTGTCTGTCAGAGAACTTCTCGTGCGTGACATACGAGGCAAGAGGATATTTGCATTTTTCACCAACATGTGAACCAGCTACATGGGTAACATAATCGGCAAGGCGTACATTTGGACGTTTCTCACGCTGACCACGTCCCAAGTTCTCCACTGTCTGCTGGGAAGAGGACGGTCGACCGCCGTCCTTGAAACGGTCCACAGGGTCGACCGTCTGAAGCGGTTCCGGATCGCTAACTTTCTGCCTCGGGGACGGTCGACCGTCTTCCACATCACGGTCGACCGTTTGATCATCTCTCAAAGAAACGTCATTCTGCCTCTCGGACGGTCGACCGTGGATATCAGAACGGTCCACCTGGTCGACCGTTTGGTCATCTCTCAGGAACCCGTCATTCTGCCTTTCGGACGGTCGACCGTGGACATCAGAACGGTCCATCAGATCGACCGTCTGTAGCCGGTCTGCTCTGCTGCTTTCCTCCGGTCGACCGTCCCTCCTGGAACGGTCCATCTGTTCTTCCGTCCGCAGTTCTTCATCTTCATCATAAAAGATAACCTCATTTGTACTTCCTGTATCATGCGATGCACCTGTAGGAGTCAAGAAAGGAAAAATATCTTCACAGAACACAACATCCCGGGACACCTTAATTTCCCCAGTGTCCGGGTAGTAAATACGCCAACCCTTCTTCCCTTGTGGATATCCGACAAATATCCCAAGATTGCTTCTTGGTGCGAATTTATCTCCATTCCTCTTCAAGTTATGTGCATAACATCTGCATCCAAAAACACGAATATGTGCCAAAGCGGGTGGCTTTTCATAGATCTTCTCGTATGGTGTGACCCCCCCTAGAAAAGACGAGGGTGTGCGATTGATCAGATGTGCGGCAGTTTGTATACACAAACTGTTGTGGAGTAGACACACAAGACGTCTCATGAATAATTCCTTGCTCCCGGAAATATTCGTTTAGACATTCAAATTCTGTACCATTATCACTGTGAACACACTTTATTTTCTTCCCAAATTGTCGTTCTACCATAGCACAGAATTGTTTAAAAACAGTACCAACCTTACGTTTGGAATCAAGCAAATGTACCCAAACACCTCTTGAAAAATCATCCACAATAGTCAAAAACATTGTAGAACCATCAAAGCTTGGAGTCCTATATGGTCCCCATAAATCACAGTGTATCATATCAAATTTATCAACAGATTGATAAAAACTTATAGGAAAACTCCCACGAGTCTGTTTAGCACGCAAACAAATGTCACAACAACTGTGACTACTCTTACTTGTTCCAACTTCAGGAACAAGAGACAAAACATGAGAGGAAGGATGTCCAAGTCGTTTGTGCCAAAGATCAAACTTACTCTCCTT